CAATGTAAATTGTAGGAACTGAAATACAAGAAAGTCCTTTCGGACAAAGAGAGAGAGTAAGTGATAATATCAATTTAAAAATGTTTTTATATTTTGTGAGCTTAGAGATCGCTATCGAGGGTGGTTTTGGGGTATCACATAGTTTTTCAGGAGTACCCGGGTGGAATCAGTCGTTGCTAAAAGAGTAGAAAGGAAGAACTATCGAAAATTGACTGCCAAATAGAGGGGTTTCATTAAAATACTATAGAGCCTGGGAGGAGGGGGTGTGGTAATTTTTAATGTGACGAAACCAAAATTCCCATTCCCCTCCCATAATTTTTATAGTGTCTGCAAAGTCCTCTGAAAACAGGTCTCGTTGTAATTTCAGTATGTGATTTTTTAAATTATGTCATCCAGTAACAAGTTTTGACATGAGAAATTTTTGATAAGCCCCATGAGATCTGATGTCATCTGTGCTTTAGCGCGGCCGTAACTCATCTTGTCATTCCACCAGGCTGAAAAAAAATCAACAACAACGCAAGGCGGAAATTTGTGAGCTAGCTGCACAGATTTCCGCTTACGAAGCCGAATGCGAAAGAAGAGGATTGAATATTGAGGTAAATATTGATTTCATCAAAGTTTACAGTTTCAACTGAATAAGGCGCGTACACCAGTCTTGTTTCTAAAACTTTCCAAAACGAGGCAGAATGTTGGATAATGGTTTGTGCACGAACGAAAGACGTGACGAATCTGGCACTACATCGAGTTGAGCTTTGTCCCAATCCTTTTTCCTTACATTTAAACAGATAACGAACCAAGATAATTTGGCCAAAACAGTTAAAGTTGTTTACCCTCTTTTTAAGGAAAAGACCAAAGTATAAACTGAATTAATAGTACTAATTAAACAAAACAATGTCTTTAATATCCAAATAATTTTCTGTTTAGGCCGACAAGAAAATGAAGATCAACATGACAGGGTAAGTAACCTTCGCTGTTCTGTGGGCAAACGTCAGAGTAAAGAAAAGGAAGGAAAATATCACTACTAAGATTGTCCTTCGAGTCAATGTGTTTGCCAATTGTCTATTTGGATTAAGGAGCCAATCAGCTGCTGATGCCTCACTCCCCTTTCGCGCCACTCTGTCAGCTTGATGAATGAATGGCAAAGTATTCACCATTCTAAATCCAAGGTCGTTGGATTA